AAGAATATTAAATTTGCTTCAAAAATCCTTCAAGGAAAATAAAATGTTTTATTAGAAATATGTATCAGATTCTAATCACAGCAGCACACTTAAAAAATTTTTTTAAATTAGTGAAAATGTAGCTAGGGAGCTTAATTTTAAATCTGCATTTAAAACTTGATGAAGGCAAAGTACAGCTTCAGTATGAACATCAAGATGAATCACTCTGCAAACATTCAAAGACAAATTTAATGTATTTAATTTGTTTTTAGATATTGCATAGACATCCTTAAATGAACATTTTATACTGCTAAAAGTGCACAGTGGTAATCTCAATTAGTTAATCATACCTATCCATTTATCTTTTATAACTTTTCTATTTCATTAAAAATATTATTGACTTTGCGAACTGGTATTGAAAGATCATTTTCAAAACTAAAATACTAAGTCTTATTTATGTATGATTATGTTGCTAGAAGGGTTTGTGAAACTTGTATTAATAGGAGTTAAAAACTTAGTGTATGCCGGTTCAGATATTTTAAAAAAAAATCTACTTTTGTGTTCTAAAATGCAGAAAAATAAAAGCACAGATGTGAGGAAAAAATTCCTTTATTATGTAATTAATTAAATTTTATAAATAAATATTCAATTAAATTTTTAATTAATTATTCTTGATTAAAATACAGTTCAATTATTTAAAATATGCTTTTGTTGTTTTATTTCTTCTTCTAAATAATGTTCTGCCATTGAAAGAAAATAAATAAAAAGCTGATCTTGAGAGGTATTTTTTTTAGCCCAAAGGGACTTTGTCCGTGAAGGACTATTTTCGTTTTGCAATTTTGCGTAGAATCACTATACATGTCTGTTTCACTTTTCAAACTGTTGCCACAAAGTATTATCACCCTATATTATATTTAAAGAAATTAAATAATGAAAAATCTGTATAAATGTATGTATATTTCTTGCAATGTGATAAAGCAACGGTATAGAGCCTTCGAATTTTGAATAACGTAATCCTCCTATGAATATGGGCATGTGGAAGACCAAATATGAAATTTGTTTTATTATTGATTTCATATTTTGTAAAACTTAAATGAATTTTTGAGTAACAAACTCAACATGATTTAAAAGTGAGCTATGACAACACTCTACAGGGGGAAAAAGGCCTTTTTATCTCCAGCGCGCGGAATTGTGTATCCGAAATTCTAAAGTTATGTTGATTTTTAAATTATTTTGTGATATTGCTATTGAACTGAACTTTATGGTTTAAGTGCAAAGATCATGATATTTAATAAATAAAGGTAACACACAAAAGGTAAAAAAACGCCCCTCTGGACGTAATTTAAAATCTGAAACCTTTCAGATTTAAATCTTTTTTTTTTTTTTTTTTCCAAACACCCTAATGCCAACCCTGATTTACGTCCTTGTAGGAAGTAAAACGGATGTATTGTAATCACGAAAAACTTCAGGCATCATATTTCAAACTAAAATATCCATTTTGACCACTATCAAATGCAATTTAACGATATTTTTATATGGCATCTGTACGTAAGGACAGAATAAAAGACTCTTTTCCCCCCAAAAAAAATATAAAACTGATTTAAAATGAATTCTGAAGAGAAATTTTCATGCCGTCTGTGCGTATGTACATATCTCACATAATTAAAAAACGAGTAACCTCAGAACGGGAAATTTTGTATATAGGATTGCTATAGCTTGTAGATGTGCACCTCGTACTTTGGTTGCAATCGGCCGCACCAAAAGTATATAAATATATGTATACATATTTATATATATAAGTATAAAGTAGTACGTGAACAAGAGAGACCTATGTGGTTGAGAATTTTGCACACTGAACTGCAAAATTTAAAAAAATATTTGCAAAGAAGAGGAAAGTTCTAAATAGCTATTGCTTAAAAGTACATTTGATACTGTAGTTCCAGAGTAATAAAAATTACACCATATATAAACAATAATACAATACTAATAAAGCAAAAGTTATTGCGTAAAACCTTAAAGTAAAAACTACAAAGTGATATAAACTTCAAAAACAAAATGGGATTAGGAAAAACTAATAAATTTTAAATCAAAAATTTTAAATGAAGCATGCAAATAATCAAAAACATTTCAAAGACAAAGAAAATATATACAAAGAATTGCAATAAATAGCCAATTAGCTTAACTCGATTCCGGCATTTCGTAAACCGAAAACAATTTATACTGAAAGCGGAATTTCATTAATAGAATAATCAAACTAAATCATCTTAATGTATAAGTCTCAATGGTTTCGCTTCTTTTCACGACGTGCCTGCAATTTAAAATTGTACATGTAAAACTTACTATTTTTGCAAGAAAAAACTATATAAGGTAGCTTTGTTAGGTGAATGTACAAATTAAAATAAATTGCGTAGTAAAAAGTCGTAATTCTTCGAGCTAGAGGGCGGACAAAATTGGCCCTTAAAATTAATGAAAGGATAGGTGTGGCCAGAAAACAGTGATATTAAATAATAAATTTTATAATTTAACTGAAGTTCTGTGCCAATATAAGATAGAAAAACTGATGCAGTATTGGGAAACTATGTTACATTTTTACATTAGATCATTACATACCATTGGCTACTGTTTCATTACGTTTGTTTCCCCCTTCCATGTCATCCCACCTAATTGGTGAATTTTGACTACTTTTCTTTTCTGGTAGCATTCCTTTGGAATTCTTTCAATTCCGGCAACCTTTTTCAGCGCCTTTTGCTCACTTCGCTTTGATCAGGCCAATGCTTTGAACACAGGTATCTTTGTCTTATTCTTCTATTTTTCTTCTTAGCCTTTGGTCTTAGCAGGACCCATTTTGAGACACTTTTTTTTTATATTTATTTTATCCTTCTCTTTAACAAAGTTTTTATTCTTTGTGCTCATTGAGATTTCCCTTAAAATTGTGTAATTTTTGACTAATAGCTTTTAAGCTATTTATTTTAATTTGTACATTCGCCTAACAAGTCTACCTTGTATAGTTTTGTCTTGCAAAAATAGTAAGTTTTACATGTACAATTTTAAATTGCAAGCGTGTTGGAAAAAGAAGTGAAATCATTGAGACTTACTATATTAAGATGATTTAGTTTGATTATTCTATTAATGAAATTCCGCTTTCAGTCTCAAATGTTTTCGTTTGACGAAACACGCTAATGGATTCGAGTTTTATCATGCTTTTCCCTTGATAAGTCCATCTTAAACCTCGAGTTGAGCTAATTTGCCATTTATTGCAATTCTTTGTATTTATTTTCTTTGTCTTTGAAATGTTTTTGATTATTTGCATGCTTCATTTAAAATTTTTGGTTTAAAATTTATTAGTTTTTTTCTAATCCCATTATGTTTTTGAAGTTTATATTGTGTTGTAGTTTTTACTTTAAGTTTTTTGCGATAACTTTTGCTTTTTTGTATTGTATTATTTTTTATACATGGTGTAATTTTTTTACTCTGGAACTTCAGTATCAAATGTACTTTTAAGCAATACCTATTTAGAACTTCTCTTGCCAATCTAGAGCAAGTAAGCTTCACAGTAACAAAGATAACGCCTTCTTTTATTATTGCGAATTGAACCACGCTTAATCCATTCTGGAATTTATTTGAGGAAATAAGTATTTAAAACTTACTTCATAATTTGCAATACAGATATTTTTAAGTTTTTATGTATTTTTGCCTTGTCGTGAAGTAAAAACAGAATTAATTGAATGAGAAATACTGAATTGTTTGTGAAAACCTATTTCTTTTTATTATTATTTTTTTATTTGGGTTTTTTGCTTAATTTCTTTTATACATCATTTTAGATTTATTATGGTAGTTGAATAGAACATGTGGCAATGATTAGATAATTCTTAAGATGATATAAATTTTGTGCTTTCTGAGTTAAAAAAATGAAAGAAATGTAACACTGTTAACTGCGTACTTCTTTTTTTTTATCAAAATAGGTTCAAAAATTGGGTATTTTTTTATTACATATTTCAAATCTACATATGTTTTAGAGTTAAAATATACAAAAAATTTTTGGAAAAGAGGGTTTTTTTTTTTTTTTTTTTTTTTTTTTTTTTTTTTCCAATATAGAATTAAATTATAGAAAAAGTTTGTCAGAATACTGAAATTGAAGAATAATGATATAAAAGGAAAATTTTGAAAATTAATATTGGTTAAATTATGATTTATTTTTTTAAATACAAAGATAAAACATATATACTAATGACAATATTTGCATAATGTAATATTTTGCATATCAATATTGCACCACTGTCGAACGGTTTCAATAGAAACTGAATTTTCAGATTCATCACTATCTGCAGAGGAATCCGAGAAATTCTCATCAAGTTCGCTGTAACTATCTTCAGTATACTTGAAATCAGATTCAAAACTACAAGTGTCAGAAATATTGTCAGGAATATAGGTTATATCACTTGCGAAACGCTTCCTGCCAGACATCTTTGAGCTCTGAAAAGCATGTGCAAAATGTTACATTAGGTATTTTGTATATTTGGCAGAAATATGGGCAACTAATGCCATCTGTTAGCCCACATCTAAATAAAGAATTAAACATCACAGAAAAGCCAAAAGGAAACCTTGAACGGGGAAAGAGCAGGTTGCACAGTTAAAATAGATGGCAAAAATTCATCCCCGCGGAAATCGCGGGTTGTGCAAATTTTGCTACTTCTACGTTGCCTATGGGATGTTCGCTGGATGTGCACCAAGAGGGTTAAGTGAACCTATGGACAGAGTGTCACTATGGTAAACAAATATAGTGAATTTTAAAGAGTGTATTTATTCTATTGTAGTTTATGCGCTATCGATGAAATAAATTTAATTCAGTCCAATAAATTTAAATGAAATGCAAGAAAAAATGTGTATAATTTAATATTCCCTTCAAGGAAGTCATGTAGTGTACACATCAGATTTTTTTTTCCTGAAGTATATTTATTTGTAGGCTCTGCTTTATATTCCACATTATTCAAATTATAAATAACAGATATATTTATTTGTAGACCCTCCTTTCAACCACAACCAAACTTTTAAATGATGATTTACATAACCAACTGAGAAATCTCTGCAAAACAGCAAATCAAGTTTTCACATGCCATGATGATGTCTGTCTATTTTGCAGAAATCCTTTAGGAGATGAAGAAAATGTTGAAATCATAGTTTTCAGGTATGATATAATTTTGTAACAGATTTTAAAAGTATTTTGTTTCAATATTCAATTTTACATACATGATTTAGGTTTTGAATAGTGTCTGAAAGTCATATTCAGATTTATTCATTTTCGATTTTTCCCTTAAATATAACTCTAGTTATTAAAATAATATGTTTTCATATTTTTATCCCATAAAATATGTTTAATGGGTCAAATAATTTGTTGAATATTTTTTCACTATAATCTTATATTACTGCATCATGGCCACGAATTTTTTCTGAACCTGTTCGAACTAAAGAGGCAATTTCTGCTTTTTGAAATTCTATTCTGAATTTAAATTTTTGAATTTTTAAATATTATTTTGATTTAATTTGCATTAAATTTTTTCCATACCTTTTTCATTGAATTCCTTTTTAATGAAGTAAAGGAAGTACTGGAATAGCGAAAAATTTCAGGTATCATATTTCAACAGGAAATCTCTTTTGACCGTTCCTGAATTCATTTGCATGATTTTTTATATGGCATTTTTCCATACAGACAGAATAAGATTTTTTTTTCTTTCTTTTTCAAAATGGATTCAAAAGGGATTTTTATCATGACATGCATATGTACACATGTATGCTGCATACCTCAAAAATGATTTAGCACAGAACATTGAAATTTTGCATATTGAACTGCACTACTGTAACATCTTCTTGTGCACTTCCTTTTTTATTGCAATTTGCAGTACCAAATGTGTGAGTGTGTGTATACCCTCACCAAGAGGGGTGGGTGTGTACACACAGCCACCTCTCTTGGCTAGCTTAAAAGTCTTTACCCTGTCTTTGCAATAGTTGGTCATAGTCATATACTTCCAGTTACAGAAATGTTTTAAATGATGAATGTATTCATGCTTTGTAATGTCAGATTTTCAAAAAAAAAAAAAAAAAAGTTTATTTTCAACAAATAACAAAATCTAACTTTTAATGTGATCTCCCAGTTCCTATGCTATTTGGGAAAGTTTTTTACTTGTTATAAAAAATAAAATTATAAGAAGTTTGAATTGTCTGGGATATTTGATTGGAATTTTTATATCATTTTCAACTTGCCTTCAGGGATTTGTTAATTAAGTTAAAATAATTGGAAGAAATAACTTTAAATGAAATGTAACAGAAAATGTATATAATTTAAATAGGCCATACAAGGAACTCGTAGTGTATACATCAAATTTTTTTCCCCTTTTCAGTGTTATAATTTTTATGCATATATTTTATTAGAGTAGTAACTTGCTCGTGTAAGTTCATGGTATACTCTGTAAAATCCAAGGAAATGCAGCTAGAGTTATGTCTTCAAACGTTTTTTGGTAATATTGTAGTATTTAGTTTCCATCTTTTTGTTTATAATCATAATCTATTTATAAACGTTGTTTATTCAAAGCATAAATTCATTAGTAATATTTTTTTGTTTCACAATAACTGCATAGTTGTGATACCTATAATGTAAATTCTAATAGTTAATGCTGTGATTTTAATTATATTTTAATATTGAAATTCTGTGAATTTTTTAACAATTTTTGTATAGGTGTGGTCATGTTTACCATACAAGCTGTTTAGGAGGAATAAAGAAAGGAAATGAAGAGCCATTAACATATTTCTGCCTAAAATGTGAAAGGCATCAACGGTATGAAATCAATGTTAAGAACCCAAGAATACGCTTAAGAAAACCTGTGATGGTACCAAATTTTAAAACCAGGAGTAAAACTTCATCATTCAGAGAGGTTTGTTTAAATTTAATTTTGTATTTAATTGTTAATTTTGTTTTCTGAAGAACATTTTAGCTCTCTATGTGCAGCTGTCCTGCCACAGATGCCAGATGTCATGGACATCAGATGCAATGAGAAGAAATAGTTCACTCACATAAAACAATTCGAATGAAAAGATAGTTTTTGTAACATAGTTTATTTATTCCGCATTCATAACACAAAATGTTTAAACTGCAGTACTCTTTACACACTCATTTTGAGCATGGTACATAAATTTCAGCTTCACAACATTCTCAAAACTACAATTATTTTCACATTAATAAAGATTTATCATAAATTTATACTTATGTTTTTGTAAACTTCTGTATGTTTTACTCCGCTCAGAACACAAAATCATTTTTTTAAAAAGAAAATTAAAAAAAAAAAAAAAAATACTCAGGTTGCCAAAACGATTTTACAAGGTTCGTATGGTCCTTAAGAGTCCTTAAAAGTCCTTCAATTTTTTTAAATCGATTTTTGGTCCTTAAAAGTTCTTAATTTTGGCCAAAATCAGCAGTAGGTCCTTAATTTTAGTCATCTGAAACTTCTCTCTGTTTTTACGACTGCCATTTTGACTGTGAATTAGCATTTTGGAGGAATATTTTTGACAATTCACTGACGTTTATGGTTATCTTTTGAATGGGTTCATGGGTTATAATTTGTTTCTATTTCTAATATAAATAATGGGATACTCGAGTTTCTAAGCAAGAAGTGAAACATAAGCATTTCGAAATTCATTTTTTCTAATAAAGAGCTCTTAAACAACTTTTTGCTTTTAGAGTTGTGAATTCTTTTATTAAATGGTTATAAATTTGATGACTTGTCAACATTTTGGTGATTTTAAGATCAGTTTCTATAGTAAATTTTTAATTTCGAGATCTGAGAATTTTTCGACGATTTTTTTAAAACATTATGACGTTGATAACTTTCATTAAAATAATGGTAATATATTAGAATTATATTTAAAAAATAACATTAAAAAACATTTTTTTCGCTGTCATATTATAAAGTTTCATTTTGGCAACTTATTATACAATATTTTGAATCTGAAAAATAAGCAAGGTATAATGCTATAAAGCATAATTTACAAAACAGCTCTTAGTAAAAGCAAAATTAGTTATGTAATTAATTAAAAATGTCTTCTTTTTAATTTTTTCATAGTAAGCGTTTTTCCCATGTAATTCTCTCAGAATATGCATCAGTTTTCTCTATAAAATTAATTTTACACTTTTTCTTCCCCCCCCCCAATATTTCTGGCTTTTTGTTGTTACAGAATTGGTTGGGATAATTTTTTCTTTAGTATTTTAGACATTGCAGCTTGGAAGGTTTAGAAGGATTTGAAGGCAAGATTTATAGATCCACGATTCTAGAGGATTCAAGAAATATGTGACAAAATGAAAAATGTCTCCATGTTATCAACACATAATGGATGTATTTTACAGAAAGTTTTTAACCCCTTCGCACCGACTGTCACGTATACATGCCAGCAACGAACACACTTACCTACCGGCCGACACACAGGCGTGCCAGAGGATAGTTCCACTCTCTACCGACTGTCACGTATTTGTGCCAGTACTTTGGAACGTTTTTCAAACTATAATTTCTGCCACAAGATGGCACTGTATGTCCATATGGTTTCAGATACATGTAAATTAGACCTTCTACTCGAAATGAGAGAAGTATGAGAGAAGTATGACTCACATACACGTGTTTTTTGATTATATAAACAAAACGGGGAATTAAATGTTTCCGAATGGCGTGATTTATGACGTCTCTTTAAATCGCACTTTATTCGTACGTAGTGGTAGTTGTTTACTGTAAGTAGAGAAGTTTTATTTGCTCTAAAGCGTTGGGTATTTCGGTTTTGCAGTTCAGTTTTTTAGAAAATAATTAGATCTTGTTAGACGTGAATTCTTTGTTTTTATCGTTGCAATGTCGAAGCATCGAAAATGTTTAACAGAGCATGAAATAGCAGAAATGATGCAAAATATTTCAGATATTGATTCTGAAATTCTGATATTCTGATATTGATTCTGAAAGATTAACTGAAAGACATTTTCCAAAACTTTGTTCAGAAGAGACTGATAAGAAAATGAGACGACGATGCTTCGTTTGTTCACATTCCCGGAAAAATCCTCCAAAACGGCAAATGAGTTATTACGAGTGCAAGGAATGTAACGTAGGACTGTGTGTAGATCCCTGTTTTCAAATTTTTCATACGAAAAGAGAATTTTAAGTAATATATTTAGTTTTCAGATGTATAATGTTAAAATTCATAAAATGGTGAGTAATTAAAATAAAATGTGTAAAATATGCATTTAAACAAGAAATAAGGTAATTAAAGTATATATATAAAAATATTTATAAAGCATAAGCCGTTTAAATACTCTATAGAGCATTATTAAACAATGCGTTGATACTTCGGAAATTTCATGGATTTAGGCTTAGTAGCAAAAAAGCCCCCGGCCCTGGAGAGACGCTCGCGTAAGACACTGCCGGCCTCAGCGATAAGCGCGCGTTTTCGCTACCCGGCTCGAAGGGGTTAATGAATTTCTTACTTTTTGGAGAACGTCTGGTAGAATAATGGAAACATAATATTTGAATGTTTTACTTCTGATATTAGAATCTTAACCTGTTTATCTTCCCTTTATTTTCTCTACTTTTCACTAGACTCAAGCATGGAAAATATCAAAAATGCTTCTAATCTTATCACATGGGCAGTCATTATAGAAAGGGATTTTTTTATTAATAAAGAAATTGAAAACTTATGATTTTAAATTTCTAATCAATTTAATAGATAATTAGTAATTAATTTAATAGATTCATCTAATATGTCTTAATGCATCATATACATAGGTGGCACTAGGCATTTTCTCACCTGATGCAATCTCTGTGGATCCTAAATTCTGCTTCTAGTGCCTGCTCTAAATTCTAAAAATGTATTTTTTAGAATAACATAAATCCTTATTTAAATCCAAAAACTCTAAAGTGAAATGTTGAAGAAAGAGCAAATGAATACATAAATAAAATTATTCTTCAAAGATATGTGCAGTTATTATTATGTAAATTACCCAATTGTTTATGATTTCAGCCTTTACTATAACTTCCCATTTCTGTTTCTTCATATGATAGTCTTATTAGCCAGATTAAATTAAAATCTACTTAGCCAGATTAAATTAAAATTAAATTGTATAATCTTTGACCACTAGTACACATTTTTAGTGTGAATTTGACTGTTCTTGTTTAATTATGTCATCGTGAGCTGTAATTGACTTTGTTAGCATCAGAACATGCCTTTATGTTCTAAGTTCTTTTAACTTTGTCTGATATTGTAGTTTCTTTCAGACACAGTGATAATTTGCTTCACATCTATCAGGGGGGTTGGGACTATTTAACTTTTACCAGATCAAGTAAACCCTCATAGGTACATTGTGGAGAGCTTGACAAGCTAGGAAATAAAGCACAGAAACTAGCGAGAACACTAGTTTGCATATTGAGACAAATTTCTAATTATTGTCAGAAAGGATGCTTAAAGAGAAGGAAATCGATATAAACTAGCCAAAATGTTTGCGAAGGCTTGTAGAGACATTAGGTATTTTTGAAAGCAGGAAAGATAAAAAATTAACAATGCCTTCGCCGGGAATCGAACCGTGGACCCCAGGAATACTGGTCCATTGTACAAACCACTGTACCAAGAAGATGGGAGAAACACCTTATATACTGCACCTTTTAAAGGGCGACTGGGGTTTTTATGGGACCCAATCGTCAAATCCTGGGTGTGGAGAACCGTCATCCAACACCTTTTAGTTCAGGTGCCACAGTACAGATATTACGTATTTTTGAAAGCAGGAAAGATGAAAAATTAACAACGCCTTTGCCGGGAATCGATCTGCGAACCTCTGGAATACCAGCTCAATGTGCAAACCACTACATGAAGGCTTGCCAAGAAGGTGGAAGAAATACCTAATAGGCTTCAAATTAAAATGACGGATAACTATTTTGTTGAGTGTTGTTGTTACAAAGCATAAATGTTTTGTAGCTTTTAATGTGTAATTATCCTAATATCGTTTAAGAATCAATGTCATAAATTACATGTATTTTAAACTGCAAAATTTTATTAGATTTTGATTTTAATAGGGCTTTTTTTTTAACAAATATTGTTAAAAAATAAAATTTAATAGTGGCCATGTAAATTCATAATGACTAAGGTTATCTAATTACCTAATTTAATTATTTAGAACTAACTACTTACCCTTAAAAATTATCTCTACATATTAAAGCTAGTTATTGCCTTTCATTAATACTCACTGTGGTCATAAGATAAAACACAAAAATGTAATTCAATTAAAACTTATTTTTTGCATCTACTGAGACTTAGAATAATATATACAAAACAACTTATCCCCCCTCTGGTGCTTTAATGGCTTATTGGAACCTTAAAGTATATTAACTGAGTTACAACCCCTGGAACTCTACACAAAGCTATGACATTAACTGCATCATTAACTGGAGCCTGACTAACTTTCAACACTTGCCAACTTTGCCTACATCAGGCTTTTCAGGTTTGTTCCAATCAGCAGGTCTCTTTCTAGACACGCAGCATTTATGACCTTAAGAGGATCAAATTAAATGGTCTCTCAATCTTGGAAATTTATTGTACAGAGTACACTCTAGAAATTCTAATAGCAGGACCTGATCCATTTATGATTTGCTCCGTCTGCTGCTCACCATCTTTGCCTTTAGAGGATTTACTAAGGAACATACAAAGTCTTTTTTGGAAATTTAATAATTGTTATTATTGTCTTCAGTTATTGTTACAGGTGACTAACACCAAACTGGTGCCCTTCTCATGCAAATAGTATCAAAGGGATTCAAGTATGTGATTTTGTAGCTCCCTCAGTTTTTATATTGTACAATGACCCCAACACTCCAGTCACATGATAAGCCTACTGATTCGAATCATGGATAGATCTCACTGTGGTAAAAATTCATGGGGTTTTATGTGTAGATAACTGAATGTGGAAGATAATATTAGTTTAAGTGACCATTGGATCATTTGATTCAAAGTAAACAATGTTTGAATTCTGCAAAATAATAAGCAGAGAATGAAACTGTAGAGGACTGACTGGATAACTTTAAGAGAAGGTATATCTACTAACTTCTAATATATTGGAGATTTACATACAGAAAATCAAATAGACAAATTAATTACAAACCAGAGAGAAATTACATAACCTATACAACAATACAAAAATTACAAATAAAATTTCCAAAACCTTTAGTCCATCTTTGATAGACAAAAAGTCCCATCTTTGATAGACAAAAAAATTAACCATTAAAAGGAAAAAGGTAAGGGCGTTGAGACGAAGGTCTCAGAGTGAGATTTGGAGTAAGTGGGAGAGAAATATACGTTTACAGAAAAGAAGAAGTGCTTTATAAGCAACATTTACAGAAAAGAAGTGCTTTTTAAATGCAATATTCATAAAGCCAGGGTGAATTCTTGGAATAATTTTTGGCAAAATCTTTCTCTCAAGTTTCTGTTTGGCATTTACTAGAACTTGACAAAAGGAAAAATTATATCTCCTTTGCAACTTTATCAAATAAAGAAACAAGGTGGTTCATTTACAATGATTGTTCAAGAAAGAGTGGAATACATTCATTATTTTCTTTCACTTTTCACTAGATGATAAATTAACTATTTAAAAAAAAATAGTTAATTTTTTTAGAATCTTATAAATTTTCAAAAGAGAAAATTGAGCAATAAACTAATCATTAATTCAAAAAATTTTCTAAATTTCAGAAACTCAGCAAACATTCAGGAGAATATGGTTACTACTCTTATTTACACTGTTAGCAGCACAAAAAATTATTAAAATTCAAAATTATAACTATGGTTTCCATTAAATATGTAGCATTTTCCCTTCATCTTAAAGTCAAAATAATTTATCATATGTTGGCCTTTACCTGTTTAAAAAAAATTCCTGTGATATTCTTAAAGGAATTTTTAAAATATGAAATCTGAAAACTGTAGATTAATGTAATACCTCAAAAAGAATAAATCTTTAAAAAAACTAATGATTTTATACTAGTTATATTGTAGAGTCATTAGGTTATTTTGAAGCAGGAGATGTAAAAAATATGGAATGCCGTCGCCAGGACTTCAACCCTGGACCTCTTGATCACGCATTAAGTATGCTTCCAATAACACCACAAAGGCATGCAGGAAGGAGAGAGAAAATATCTTATATACTTCCCCTTTTAAAGGGCAACTCAGGATTAGGAATCCAGCTGCCAAATCCTGGTGGTGATGAATTATTCTCCACCATCTTTTAGCTCAGATGCCACTTAGAATCATTTGGTTTTTTTAAAGCGGGAGATGTGCAGTGTCCTTGCTGTGACTTGAACTCTGAACCTCTTGAATATGCGTCAGGTATGCTTCCAACTACACCACAAAGGCATGGGAAAAGCAGGGAGAAAATACCTTATAACATTTGGTATTAAAAACATCTTTTATTAATTTCAGTAAATATACAAATGTTCATAAAATTTTGTTAGCTATATCTATATATATGTAAAGAAGAAATAATGTTTGTTTGTCCTCTAAATAACTCAGTCACTACTATAGTTATCATTGGCAAAATTTATATGATTCTTTTATGGGTCCTGGAAAAGACGTTCTTTTAGCTACTTTTTTCCAAAAAAAAGTAGCTGAAATCAGAGCTATTAATTAAAAACTCATAAAAACGACAATTGTTGCCCTCATTTTTCTGAGTGTCAACAGTCTCGCAAGCTGGAGATGAAAATCTGCTTTATTTTGAAAGTTATTGCCACTGCTCACCTTCAAATCCTAGAGTTTGTTAGTAAAAAAATTCTAAGTTTTACGATGAAATAAAAATAGCATTGCCAAACATTAAATACATTATTCCCAATTCCAAAAATTTGTGGGAAGCCATTTTGACCATTCCCATCTTCGTACGACTTTAATCAGCTTAAATATTAATTAAAAACTCTGAAAGCGCTAATTTTCGCACTCCTTTTTCAGAGTGGCAACAGCCTTCAGTGTTGGAGATAAAAATGCTTTATTTTGAAAAGTGTTGCTACTGCTCTCTTTCAAATTGTAGAGTTTGTTAATTAAAAGTTGGTAAGTTTTACAAAATTTATACATATAAAGAAGAATGTCTGATTGTGTGCATGCAAATCGAAAACATGCATGTCCTGTCAGACATGCATGTTTCGATTTGAATGTCTGATTGATCATGTTTATGGATTTTATTTTGCTAGGGCAGGATTTTACATACTTACTAAAAATAGTAACATCTCGTTGAGACATAAAAGTTCCTCAAAAGGTAGAAGAACAAATACTAAACTTACATATAGCACAAATGTTCTTAAAAAGCACTTATGAAAATAGGAGAGGCTTCGATGCAGGAAAAAACTAATGTTCTTAAAAAAGGTCTTAGTATGAATAATGAAACTAAAAAACATGCAAATCGAAAATGAAACAGGAAAAGAAAACTTAAAAGTATTCTTTATTTTAATGGTAAATTTTGCAATGTATTCATATAAATTGCTTTTTTATCAAAGTAATTTCTTAAAAATATGATTATTCTGTTAAAAATAGCATTAAATTGTTTACTAGTTCAAATTTAATATTTTTTCTATGTAAATCAATTTAAAGTAACCTATCACTTCATTTTTTTTAGACTCGTTTGAATGCTCAGCAGTTACAGGCTCTTGAAATTGTAAGAAAATGTCAGAAGTCCTCAAGAGTAAGTAGTTATATCTTATAATTTAAAGCCTGTACCTGTATACTGAAGTTTATGCAGGCATGCTAGTCAAGATAAGATTTATCTTGTGGTCCCTTGGATAAAGCTTAGTTATATTATTCACATTTAAAACAAATTAAAACAGCTTATCATAAATCCTTTTCTAAAAAAATATGTAAAAGTTAATTGAGTGGAGAAATATATTATTTGATTACCGAGAAATTGTGATCTATCAAGTAGTGATATGTTGCTGAAAATTTCAATAACATTCATTAATAATTTTTTAACTGCAGACAAAATCTGTTGTTTTAAGCAGTACATATTAAAAAATTTTGCATTTCTTGGTTAATTCTAACATGGTAACTTTATTTATGAAATATATTGGTTTAAAGAAATGCTTTTTACATTCATTAAAACAAAACTAAAGTGAAAAAAATATAGAGGAATCAAATGATGCTTTTGAGCATTTAAATTAATCTTATTTTCACATTGTTTTAATTATGAAAAAATTAAATAAAGGCCTTTTCTCCTTTAAAAGTAAACTATAAACAAAAATACCTATTTTTATTTTGATCACATGATGGAGAAGATTTACACTGAATATCAGTTATTGTTTTCCGGAGCACTATCACACATCTGTCTGTTTCAGACTACAACTTGTTTCAAATGATATTTCTACCGAATTGATCATTAAAAGAGAGGTGCATGATTTGTTTTATGTCTTCTACAAAAAGTTGCAAGTTTTGCATTTTTTAACCATTCAACTGTCAACATCAAACCAAAGAACTTGAATGTTTTTGTTGAACTTATTCTTTGTTGGTAGTTTGCATGTTTGTAATGAAGTACCAGTTTTACCATTACATTGTAACCTAAAGGGGGTTATAGTGATTGACTGTTTTATATCATGTAACAAAGCAGAAAAAATTCCGCTGAACAGTTCTTAAATGTTTTTAATGTGTGATATGGCTCTTAATCTTATGTTAGTGTTTCATTAAGTGAGATTAATTAGTTCCTTGTATAAGTATTCAGTATATGTATTTTATTAATGATCAGTGCCATATTGTCCTTTAGAAATTTTCAGATTTTAGATTTATCCATTTGGAAGATATGTTAGTTTACAAATATTAAGTAAATGAAAGGAATGTCATATTTTATCTGGAATAAACTTGAAATTTAAAAACTTCAGATTACAGTCTTAACACCTCAAAAAGGAGTTTAACATTAAATTAAAAACAAAAATCTTAGAAATGTTTTAAAACCTAAAATATTATGGAACTATTTTATATCTCTTTTAAAATAAAGCTAATTCAGTAACAAGTCTTAGATCCAGGATCATCAGGACTTTGGTAAATACGGATTTTGAATCATCAGTTTCAATCTAGTGAGATAACATGAAGAAATTATTTTAAAAAAAGTGAAGGAAAGAAAAGTTTATGAAATGATGAAGCATTTGTGACCTCAAGGTAATCAAAATTAACAAAAAATGTGTAACATTTACTTGTTTTTTTTTTATTTAATATTTCTTTCATGTAGTTGTTTAAGCTGCTTCGTTTTATGTGTTAAAACTTTCTCTGTAATTTTATAGATATATATAGTAAGTTCCACAATTCGAGCTCTGCAATTGCCGTGCCCAGAATTCCCACTAAACTGTCAGTCAAAATTCTTTAATTCTCAAAAATCTCTTTGTCACTTGCTTCACTATTGGTAGTTTTACTTTCTGGATTTAAAACCATGCTACAGATTTTGCCATCTGTTTGTTGATTTCTGACTGGGGCATTGTGATTGAAAATGGTAAACTTCTGTTATATCATCTTCATTTATTATCATTTCTCCACAAATTTCATAAATGGAAAATTTCGCCTTCTATAGCATTCAAAATCTATGTCAAAATAAGGTTACTGTTTTCCTGAATTTTGAAATTGCATCTTCTTAAAGCCAAGGCTTCTGTAAAAGGCAAGGTCAAATATTTTACTTCGTAAATCTGGCTACAGCTCAAGAATTAGAAACTCATTTTGACATAAATGAAACTTTAAACTTTGATTTCAATAAGATAATAATATTAGCTAAAAATAATAACTGGTGTTAAAAAAATAATAAGTTGGATCAGATTAGAAAGTTACATAAGAGTGAAATTTGCTGTATTAAATGAACATAAGTTCTTCAGAATATAATTCTTTTTCTTCTCCCTGCTGCTATGCCTACAAAAGAAAACCTATATACCAATAACCTTCTCCAAACAAATATGTCTTTGCACTTTACTTATTGTTTAGGTCATATAGAAAATATTCCCTGCCCAAAGCTACTAAACAAGTGGCACCATCTGATAACCTCCCATGTGTTGAAAGTAAATGAATAATTATTTTAATCCTGGACTTTACAGTGGTGGCCAAAATTGTGGACACTTTTCGAAATTTTTATGTTTTTAAACTTTGTATGCTTATAAAAAATGTTACGTTTCGCAAAATGCAAACTAGTATATATCATTTTAAAGGGAATTTATTACTGAATTCAATACAAAACACAAAATTGAATTATTTGCAATACAAAAAAAGTAATGTGTACTTTAATATAATTAAAAAACACAGTTATGAAGTGGTTTGTAATGTATAGCTGTAAGGATCTTAAGTTTTAACGTTTTTTTATTTTAAATCTTTAACTATCACTTCTTATTTTCTACTTCCCCAACCAGAATATAAGCGTTAAGGTTTTTATGCAAAGTTTGTTGGCGACCCAATATTTAAGTTGTGGCTTTTGCCAAGCGAGAGAGAGAAGCAGTGAGTCGAAGCAGGCCGCTTACCTTAGAGTTTACGCAGTTGCTGGTTGCCTTCCAGGCCAGGGTTTTAATCCTCATGATAAATTTTAAACGTATTGTAGTGTTCACAGTTCTCTGTACTACATACGCCTCCTGTTATATAAGCCAATTTCCTGTTTATTATTTTAAAGTTAATTAGAGTTTAGTTCTATTTTTTATTTTTACGTTAGACCCCGAGTAGCGGGCTGTGTATTCCGAAATACGGAAGTCTTGTAAATAGGAAAATAAAGGGTTTTGTATACCCTCTGTGTACCTGTCTACTTCCCACATTAGTGAACATAGCTTCAGTAAGCTCTCTGTTCCGAGTCAGGTCCTGCATTTCCCGAAGAAGGTTAGAAGGAACATGACCCTGTAGTGGCGCCAATAAGAAGAATAACCATGGCCGAGTTTCAAAAAGAACCTGTGCTGCCTGCAGAAACGGCTCATCCGAAATGCCAGCTGCCGCCCTGGAAGGATCCTGAAATTTTAGCACAAGATATTGTAGCGATTAAGAAATAGGGCGGGCCCCTACGAATAATAGATGGTCTATTATTTATACAAAAACTACGAATTCCAACACGAATTTTGACCTGTTATCCCAGCTAGTCTTAGATAAATATCCTGCAGGAGCTCCATACAGCCCTTTAGCTTCTCATGCTGGTATTCGAAAAACTATCCAACGCATACGCGAGGCAGTCTACTTTCCTGAACTGCAAAAGTTAACTGGGCTTATGTCCAGTCCTGCCCAACATGTCAAGTAGTTAATTATATTAATTTCCGCCCGGCCGGGTTTCTAAAATAGTATTAAATCCGAATTCCAAATGAAATAATTGGCATCGATTTATTGGGCCCTTTCCCCCTTTCCCAAAAAGTCAGTTAAAAAAAAAGTCGCTATCTCCTTGTTATGGTTGATCATTTCAGTAATGGACCGAAATTGTTCCCTTAAAACGAGCCTCCGCGAAATTAGTTTACTGATTCTATTTAAATAAATATATTTTTAAAATGACGGGGCGCCCCTAAAGTTATATCGGATAATGGTCCTCAATTTGTAAGTAATGTATTTGAAGACATGTGCCAAAAAACTGGGCATACGTCATTTAAAAATGGTCCCGTATTGGCCGCAATCAAATATAGCGGAACGGGTCAATAGAAATATAGTGAAAATTATCCGTAGTTATGTTTAAAATTTTCATAAAAAGCTGGGATAACTATGTCAATGAATTTGCTTTCGCCCTTAGGACCGCAAAAACATGATACAAACGGGCAAAACTCCTGCTGAGTTATTTTAGGCAGAAGATTATAACGCCGTTAGATAAAATTATTTTATGTGCAACAAAGAGCCCCAGAATTTAAAATGGGTGATATAGAAAACTAATAAAAGAAGAAAAAAGAATACGGAAGTAGCACAGAGAAAACAAAAGCTTATTATGACTTGAAACGACGGGGAGTAACTTATAAAGTAGGGATGAAGTATTAAAAATTAAGCATTCACTTTCTTCAGCACCAGAAGATAAAACTGCCAAATTTTTTTTTTCCACGATTTGAAGGACCATATGTTTTAGAAAAAATAACTCACACTGTAGTAGTGGTTAAAGCCAGAAATGGTGAAACCTGCTCGCAAACATTGATCAAAAAACCCACTTGATCGTATAAAATGCAAACTATTTTCAGATCTTTTGCAGGATCCGGACGGCGACACCGCAGGCACAAGCTCCAGAGGTGGAAAAAACGAGAAGTACAAGGGCAAGCCATTAAGAGGCAGGAGCAAGTGAAAAGAAAAATTTCCCCGCGGAAAATTTGAAGGTACAAGAAAAAGAAGCCGTTCCACCGTCCAGAAAAGAGAGTTCACGAACCCACCCCCAGAATGAGAAGGGAGAAGGACGAGTATGTGAAGAGAACCATGAGAAATGACGGCAACTACAACAACCCGGCTCTAAAACGGAAGATCTACTCATTCGACAGGACTCTCCACAGCAAATGTCGCCGAACCTGGGGAAGGGCCATCAGGCAAAGGAAAAGTACAAGAAAATTTGAACGCCAGCAACGAGGTCCAAGCAGGAGCACGAAAAGAAGTTTCCCCGTTCCGCCAAGACCAGCTGCCATCAAACGGGCCAAGACCACAAGCAGAGGAGAAAAGAAGGTATTCAAGGGGTGACCGAACTGGTGAAAAAAGGAAGCTTCCAGAGGAAGGCACTGAAGGCGAGCCCGTACA